TAATGAAAGATGTGTATTGAATCCTGTCATTTTTATTTCTGCTCACATTCTTGATATAGCTGTGCATTTCCACAGTTATACCTTCATTGAACATTGAATTTTCTCCCCTGTGTATAGTCATTCCTTTCTTCAGCTCTTTGTATTGCTTCAAGAACTCTCTGAAGGGCTGTTTTTTTGGACATGAATTCTTTCAGCCTATTTATGTCATGGAAGATTCTTCTTTCTCCTTCAACTATGATGGACATTTTGGCTGGGTAAAGTAATCTGGGTTGGCATCTGTGGTCATTTAAAACTGGGAATACTTTGGTTTAGGTCTCTTCTGGCTTTCATAGTTTGCACTGAAAACTCAGCTATAATCCTGATGGCTTTTCCCTTATATGTGACTTCTTTTCTTTTGCAGCTTTCAGTATTGTCTCTTTGTTGTGAACTCTGAACTTTTAGTGTTTTTATTATGATGTGCCATGGTGAGTTTCTTTTCTGGTCCTATTTGGTGTTCTATATGCTTCTTGTATTTGTATGGGCATGTCTTTTTTTTAGTTTTGGGAAATTTTTTTCTACAATCCTGTTATTGATCTGTTCCATACCATTATCTTGAGATTCTTCTCCTTCCTGTATGCCTATGAGTCATAAATTTGTTTTTTTTTTATGGTGTCACACAATTCTTGCATATTCCATTCTTGTGATTTCTTAAATTTTTCATAGTCTTTGCTTGAGTGGTCCAGGTCATCGACTTTATCTTCCAGTCTTGATACTCTGTTTTCCATTTCATTTGTCCTATTGGTGAGGCTTCCTCCTGTTGTTTCTAATTGGCTTACTGAGTATTTCACTTCCCTCTTCATTTCAGCCTGAGTATTCGTCAATATTTCTAACCTTTTTTCTGAATTCATTCAGAAGTTTATCCCTATCTTCCTTCAGTTCTTTGATTTCTTTGTTTGTGTGTTCTTTAAATTCACTAATTCTTTTTATCATGTTTACAATTTTTCTTTTGAGTTCCATGTCCTGCATTATCTAGGGGCTTCTCATTGTACTCCTCTAGAGGACTATTGGTATTTGGTGGGGATATGTTATTTTGGTTTTTCTTGTTATTATTTTTTCTCTGTGATTTTGACATGTGAATTTCTTTTGTAGTTTCTGA